TTTTGAAATGAATCCCTCTCTGGGAGATTAATTTAATATGGCGTCGCCAACGCTTTTGTCCTCCATTGTCAGTGGCTGCTGCCATGTGTTATTAACGGCACGATCTGTAATCCTTGTACTCAATTTTAAAATGTAAATTCTATTTTTGCGCAATATAACACGGAAAGTCGTTAGAAGCTACTCGCTCATACCCGCCCTTCTCCAGCGAACCGCGCCAATGTTCGAGGAACTCCCCGGGAAACTTGTCCTTCACGAACTCTCCGATCGTCTTCCCAGAGCGACTCTTCTTTATCGCGTCATTCAGTCGTTGGAAGTTCGCTTTGTCCTTGTCGGCTTTGTCGCGAATCAGCAGCGTGATCGGAGGAACCCCGTTCTCGTTCTCCTTGCCGACCTCAACCTGCGCGAAAAAAATAGATCCGAACTTAGCGAACAACGTACGTGGAACAACCTTTCACCGACTCTCACATTTTGTTGCCGATCGATTTGGTAGATACATCGATCGATTTAAAATAGACTATACTTCGGTTGAGAATGGTGGTTGCATATATATTAAAATCTGACCTATTAACCAAGTACATGGTATACATTATGCGCAATAGCTCATGTTATGGTCAACAACTTGCTTAAGGTTAGGGTTATGGTTAGGGTTAGGGTTAGGATTAGGGTTAGGGTTAGAATTAGGGTTAGGGTTAGGTTTAGGCACATTGGTTTTATTGGGACCCATGTTCTCTATCCTTGGGCCATCATGCTTGCCGTGTGTACGTATACAAAATTTAAAATTACAAATAGAATTGACTACACTACGTCACGTGTGACCGTATGACGAGATAGTCTAGGAAATTTTGCATGAGCCATAAATTTCTAATTTTACTACTACTACTCAGTACTATTAGTAGTAGTATAGGGACCTATTCATTGTGTTGTTTACTAGGCTACGCTACAGACTACATCGTACCGTAGGTGCAGTATATTGGCTCAGACGTTACACTTCCGAATAACATATAAAGATGATCGTTGCGTTTCTCTGGAATTAGTACGTTCCTGGTCCTCAATTTCATTTTTTAAATAATGAACATATTTCGTCAAAACAAAGTATAACTGTTTACTGCTGCGACCACCATATCTAAATTCGGAACCAAACGTAGTTCTCCGCCAGGTGACGCCACTATGTAATTAGGGGCCAATTATCCCCACCCCCGCCGCAATCCCCATTCATGAATTTCGTGCTGAATATTAGATATCGTCAGGGCTTAAATAACGACAATTTTTGTCAGTATTAACACTTGATATCATATATAGATATCAGTAGTAGATCCTGATAGATATGTATCACTGCATAAGCGGTATATGATAGCATATAGCTATACATAATGATAAAAAATAATAAATAATAATATAACTAATTAAACTATAACTAATATCAGGGGTTAATAATGACAAATTTTTGTCATTATCAACCCCTGCTAATATGTTTTTATGTTTATATAACATGTTATATCAACAGTTTAGTGATACATATTTTGTACATGATATCCCGAGTGAATAATAATAGATCTATTATTATTCACTCCTGATATCTATGATCTCGAATTTCACAGTAACGTCATCATGGGGAGTAATACGTTAGATTCCTTATTATCTGCGTTTTGAACGGAATCAGAACAGTAACAGATATACGAGTCTCACAATAATGGAATAAACTCTTGCACTTCTTCCACATCAATCCAGATGTATGGAGTTAGAAGAGGATAGATAAGAATGTCTTCCATGTCATAAATAATTAGCACACAAGAAAACCACACAAGCCAAGAGAAAATAATGTCTTTTTATAATAAACAGTGAATTACGAATATTTATTTCATTCTACAAATTCTCATTCAGCACAAACAGCGGTACGACTCTGTCGACACAGTACGAAACAGTTACACACCGATGAGATACACAGAGAAACAATTTACAGCAAAGATGACGATGGCACGTTACCCTCATCCCCTCATCCTACGCGCATACCAAGCCAAGCAGCTGCTGACCTCTGTGCCAACCTACCGGTTTACTACGAGAAGCTCACAAATAAACCGCAAACACAGGCACGGGAGGGAGGATCCGTGGGGCCAGCATACTGTATACGCCATATTTTTCGTGAATTCAGACTTGACGGACAATTTCGCGGTCTGTGAATTCATGAATCGGCGAAGAACAGCGCGTTGTTATTTTCGTGGTCGGGGACGCGTTCGCGAAATTCGCGAAAATGAAACCACCGCGAAATATACAGCGTATACAGTAGTTGCCCCTCATCTAATGTCGCAGGACAGTAGCTCTCTCTCTCTCTCCCGGCCACCACTGCCGCCGACGCAAATCCTTCACCAATGACATTCTGAGAAGATTCTACTCGCGAAACTAGCAGCGAACAGCAAATCTCACACGGGGAAAGACCGGCGCGGGGACTTTGGTAGCCGTGACCAACGTTACGCGCCATCTCAGATCAGTTGCTCGCACACACACACACACACACGCTTACGCCATCTAGTTGGGCAAACGAGAACTACAAGCGCGCGCCCGACTCTGGCACGTGTATTAGTGTGCGTTGACCTATTTTGCCCAGTAAAGGTACTATGTACAAAATACACGACAGCAAAGGTAATAATCCACTTGTATAACTATGGGTGCTGCAGTTCCCTATTGTATGTATATATCAACCAGCCAGCCAATAGGTGGCGTCACCCGCAGCCATTCCGCACGACAGCTGTCATGCATCTATCGTTGAATTGCCGGCGCTTCCCATCCACCGACAGATGGCGCTACCGCATCTCCCGCGTACAACAATGACTGATACTCATTGCGCGTGCGTATATGAGCATCACGTTACCCCCGGCGACAGTGACGACGAATCAAAAAACGCGCAAGTTAATATCAAAAATCAACGTTCGAACTCGCTCATATAACAACGCTTTGGTCAAAACGCAACTGCAGCAAAAAGATCACTCGGGGCGAAAGCCTCCGTTGTGGGCTACGAGTCGTACTGATCTTCATAATCCAATGAGTACGACTCCGTAGAAGCGGTCCTTGTGACGCGGCGACATACTATCCGACCAATCCGGTGAAGCGGTCGCAACGGTGACGGCTAGAAAGCTATCAGCGGGACGTTGCGATGGCTATAGCCGTGGTTTCCGATCGCGTGCAGGTCACACGCGCGCGTCCACGCACGCTTAGCGTTCATGCGAGTTCAAGAGCGAGTGATGTGTGCAACGATTCCACGCACGCAGACAGCACCGGCTCGATCGCTCGTACGACATATGACGATATGAGAACGCAAGATGCAGTCTCTCGTCCGCACGCTCACTCTCTCTCGGAATGTTTTCCTTCGGCGTGACGTCCGAGACGGCGACCCTACCGGCGGCGTTTCTTCGACGGCGAAGGCTTGGCGGGGATGCGCTTGCGTTTCTTCGTCGGCGTCGGTTCTTCGTACAGCGCCTCGTGGTCGGCCTTCCGTGCCTCCTCCTCGAGCTCATCCCAGTCCTTCCCGCTCTCCTCGCTGCTTCCCAGCTCCTCCTCCTCGCTCTCCGACTCCGTGTATTCGCTCGCCTCGGAGTAATCCTCACTCGACTCGTCCAACTCGCTCGCGCTGCCGCTCGGCGCGTACACGTTGTCTTCCTCCTCCTCGTCGTCGTCGTCCCCCTCGTCCCCGCTCTCCGGCTCCAGGAACGTCCAGCCTCCGTTCTCGAAGAATCCATCCGTATCTTCGCAGATCGTCTTCATGATCTTGCCCCAGTTGAGGCTCTGTATGCCCTCGGTGTAGTGGATGTCGCAGGAGTTCAGCCACTCTTTCACGTTCTCCAGCATGTTCATGGGCACGGAGTTTACCATGACCGTCTTGCGGTGGTAGTCCTTGAAGATGAACACCATGTCGAAGTTCTTCAGGTGGAACTGAACGCGCTCAAAGTGAACGAGTTCTAGATCGTCGAGGGAGATAACGAACGGCGGCCACTCCGTGAGCGTCACCAGACAGCTGCTCGTCGGCTGCAACAGCACCGTGCTCCGGTAGGGGGCGCCGGCGAACCCCAGGTCGCGGAACGGCGTGTCGAACTCGACCTCCTGCTTCGTGAGCGTCTCGACCTTCTCGCAGAAGCTCTTGAACGCCGACGTGAGCTTGTGGCGGAGTTCTCTCTCCGCTTGCTCCGCGTGCAGGTCGTCGCGGTCGTGCAGGTGAGAGTGCTTGCCGAGGTCGGTCGTTATCTCGCCGACCTCCGTGTAGAACTGCAGGTCCGTGTGCTTCTTCTTTCCGAAGATGATCGCGTTGCGCAGGTGGAAGTGCAGCAGGATGATCATCTCTCCGTCGCACGGCTGGAAGAACGCGTGCTTGATGTTGTTGTAGAGAACGTCGACCTTGTCGCCGCGCACGGACGTGAAACGGAATCCGTTAGTGTGCGCCTCCAGCGTCCCGCTGATGCGCTTGTGCACAATGTTCGGCCGGATGTACAGATCCTTCAGCTTCGGGTTTCCGCGGTTTGGATTGATGACGAGTTTGTCCTGCTTGACGATGCCTTCCATCTCCTTCATCTCGGCTTCCCGCGTCTTGAACTTCTTCTGCACGTCCTTGATGAGTCGGAAGGCCGTGTTGAGGTTGGCCGAGGACGCCGTCGCGTCGCCATGCTCCTTGATGTTGCTGCTGCGGTACGTCACCTCCTTGAGAAAGGTCGCCTCCGGGTTCGCGAAGAGGTTGCCCTCGCTGCGGCCCATCGACGAGCCGGGGTGGTGGAAGTTGACGCGGAGGTACGTGTAGTCACCCTCGATCGACTGGCTGATGTTCTTGATCGTGGAGATGTGGAACGGCACGGGGATCCCGCACACGGGAAGGATCACCGTCTCGTACTTGCGATCCACGAACAGCCTCAGTTCGCGTATCTCCGCCTCGCGCGGGATCATCGAGTGACTCTTGTAGGAGACGTTCGACTTTGATGACTTCGGCGCGTTCTCCTTCTTGTTCTGCTTCGCGAGCCGGTCCTTCGCGTCTTCGTTCAGCTTGTTCGCCAGCTCCACCTGGTGTTCCTTCCTCCGCTCGTCGGCCGTCATCTCGTGCCGCAGCTTGCTGTCGAGGACGGCTCCGCGCTTCCCGCGGCCGAGCAACGCCGGCGCCCTCTCGTTGCCGTTCACCTCGTCGCCGCTCTCGTCGTCTTCGTCCTCGTCCTTCAGGAAGATGCCGACGTGCTTCACGCGTTTCTTCACCGGCGTAAGCAGGCTCGCAGCCTCCGCCTCGCCGTCGCCGACGACGACCGTGTCCCCGACGAACAACGCGTACGTCTGCGCGTGCTTGTCGGTGGCGCCCTCGTTCTTCAAACCCGCGAGCCCGACGTTGACGTTGAAGACCATCCCGCGGCGGACGACGGCCGTCGACTTGGCGCCGATCAGTAGCGCCCCCTCGCGGAACTCTATTCCCATCACGAAGCCGAAGTTTCGCGTGAGTTTGTCGACGAGTGCGGGTTTCTTCTCCTTCGCCGCGCGCACAGCCTCGGCGTAGACATCGGCGAATCGCGCTCCGGGTTTCAGCCTCGCGATCACATCCTCCTCCACGGCGACAAGGAACTCGTAGTTGTCCTGCATGGCCTGCGTCGGGTCGACCATGAGTGTTCGCACGATGTTGCAGCAGTAGGAGCGGTAGCGTGTTCCGAACGCGCACACGATCGCGCCGAAGTGCATGTTGTTCTTGTCGCTCATCACGCTGAACTTGAGGCTGTAGTTGCCGCCGCTCTGCACGATCGGCGGGTAGCACATCTCGATCTGCGCCGGGTCGACGCCCTGCGTGAACTTCTTGTTCGTGATGGCCTCCTCGATTCCGTCCGCGATCTTAACGTGGCGGACTTTCTTGTTCGCGTCGACGATCTCCATCACCTGCTCCTTGAAGTACTTGCTGAAGACGGTGCAGGTGACGAGACATGACTTCTTGATGAGCGCCATCTCGCTCTCCTCCTTAACGGCCATCAGGTAGGCGACCGCGTGACTCACGTCCACGAATTCGTAACCGCCCTTCTCCAGCGAACCGCGCCAATGTTCGAGGAACTCCCCGGGGAACTTGTCCTTCACGAACTCTCCGATCGTCTTCCCAGAGCGACTCTTCTTTATCGCGTCATTCAGTCGTTGGAAGTTCGCTTTGTCCTTGTCGGCTTTGTCGCGAATCAGCAGCGTGATCGGAGGAACCCCGTTCTCGTTCTCCTTGCCGACCTCAACCTGCGCGAAAAAAATAGATCAGAACTTAGCAAACAACGTACGTGGAACAACCTTTCACCGACTCTCCCATTTTGTTGCCGATCGATTTGGTAGATACATCGATCGATTTAAAACCGACTATACTTCGGTTGAGAATGGTGGTTGCATATTAAAATCTGACCTATTAACCAAGTACATGGTATACATTATGCGCAATAACTCGTGTTATGGTCAACAACACGAGTAGCTTCTAACGACTTTCCGTGTTATATTGCGCAAAAATAGAATTTACATTTTAAAATTGAGTACAAGGATTACAGATCGTGCCGTTAATAACACATGGCAGCAGCCACTGACAATGGAGGACAAAAGCGTTGGCGACGCCATATTAAATTAATCTCCCAGAGAGGGATTCATTTCAAAACAACGTCAACGTATGGAAAGCCATCCCCTTCAAAAATCATTTTCAAACATTTCAAATACACAATTTTAAATCAATTCAAAACATTTCAAATTAATTAATAACAAGAGCCGCACAGCGTCTGGGCTCATCTGGGGTCTGTTGCTACGGTTATGAACGTACAATTTCAGTCGTGC